CCACCAGGGGTTTCTCTTAGCCAACCATACCTTGAACCCTGAACTTGGATGGAGCATGAAACCACCACATAACTTAGCCCTGTGGGTGAAGGCACAGGAAGAGTGTCAGGGGATAAAGGCTGGCTGAAGTTAGGGTAGGAGAATACAGTATTGAAAAAGAGGCTCCTGCAATGGAGATTAAAATCTAGTTTTGCCTACTTGAGAGTCTTGCCCAGGGCTGGCAATGAGAGATCACTAATTCACAAAAAGAAATGGTAAAGGCAAACATAGCCAAGCTAGCGTGTTCTTTCCTAGTGCTTTGCTTTGCAGTGGTTAGCTCAGAAGTTAGCATCTGAAATGCCTAGCGCTAAACGTTTGCCAATAACAAGGATTACATCTTTAGTAACCACTCTGGTGAGTAAGATCTTAGACAGTTTATTTTGTTATTCCTCTGTGATCAGGAGGAAAGGAATTGCCAATAAACAGTTTTAGAAAATGTCTTTGCTTTAAAGAAAATTACTGAGATGCGGTCCAACCTCAGTCCTCAGTCTGATTCTTTTACAGTTAGTCATGTAGGGTTTGATAGAGTTTAGGTTGAAAATGTATCACCATCAGTCAGCTGATGTCAGCCAGGAGCCATTATTAGTGCAATTACAGTCATTCTGATTGATTTCAATCATAGGGTTGGAATGTGGTAGAAAAGGTTACTGGGTTTCATTTTAAAAACTTTTTGCCTGTTATTTCTGCAGGTTAAATGTCTCTTGTAAAACAACTTTATAGGTATTTCAGCTATAAGCCTGAGTGATTGAGCAATGAGGGGGAAGGGAAAAAAAAGAAACAACACTCTTTATTGCGAATGAAGAAAGGGGAAGGAGTGAAGTGCATTAGAGAAGCATTAGGTGTCCAGACACATAAAGCGTCAGTTGTAGAAATTTCACTAGGTGCTGAGTGCCTGTCGCATGAAGGGAAATAAAGCTATATGAGTGGGGGTCCCTAAAACCTTAGATGTTGGTGAGCCCCATGCAGACCTTACGTGTAGTAAAACTCTTTAATAAAGTGCTTTGCCACTCCTAGGATTTCTTTATATTGTAAGTATATGGGGATATCCAACCATCCCTCCCTGTCCCATAGACATGGTGCATAACAGGAATCGTTGCTGCTTCCGGCATGGGCCGTCAAAGGTCCCACTTCTCCATCACCTGGAAAAGCCTCCTGTAACTCCTCTGACCTTGGTCAAGCTCCAAGGAAGAGGCAGACCCATGCGGAGTTTGCCGGTCCATCTAGTCCTTTGCGTTAAGAACTGTGAAACTGTGACAAAAGGATTTGAGCTGCTTTCCAGGCTTCATGGGGTTCTTTTGATAGGAGTCACAGAGGGGATGCTGCCCCAGACGTGTGTTCTACGAACACAGTTTTGACACTATTCGCATTCACAACGTGCCCAGGAGTTTTCTGCAGATGACAGAAGACCCATCAGTGGGATGACAGTCACCCTGACATCTCTGTCTTCACCTGTCGCCATACATTGGCATTTAAGCTTTTAAAAGGCATCTTAAAACATTTTTAACGCCTAAGGAGGAAAAAACTGTTTCCTCTATCATGAGTCAGCCAAATGCCAGTCAGGGATTTAAAAAAAAAAAAAACCGACTTGACTCTCTTTTTCACAAGCCACCCCTATATCTTGCCAAAATATCATAGAAGATAGCTCGGCGATGCTCTTCCTCTTCACGAGCGTGATTTCATTGTTGGCTTCATTCTTAGAAAACCAGTTTGATATGCTCACTAAAGCAACTCTCTGCACTTTGCATTTCTGCACGGTACCCAACATGTCCCTTCTCTCTCCCCGTCACACCCTCCCTCTATTTCCCCTGCAGGTTTCACCAGCGACACAACAGATGCAGCCAACCCAGACAATACAGCCGCCCCAGCCCACAGGGGGGCGCCGGCGCAGGGTGGTGGACGAGGATCCCGACGAGAGGCGGCGGAAATTTCTGGAACGGAACCGGGCGGCCGCCACCCGCTGCAGACAGAAGAGGAAGGTCTGGGTGATGTCACTGGAAAAGAAAGCAGAAGAACTCACCCAGACAAACATGCAACTTCAGGTGCAGGCCACTGTCTCTTTCCCCAGGACTCAAAGGCCCTGTGTAGCGCTGGCATTTCCTGCCCCGGCAGGCACTGGTTGACCTAAGCAGTAACACCCCCATTAGCCCAGGGGCAACTGCAGGCTTACTCCTCAAGCTTTATTAATTCTGAGACATTCTACAAAACAAAACAACCATTCAGCTTTAAATCAATCTGCTCTGAGCAGGGAGATCCTGCTCAACTAAGTTACAGGGCTGGGAGCCGAACTTTGGTCAGAGGTTCAGCCTCCTGTTCAGCATCTGCTTGTGTGTTTAAGCTCTCTGGCTCTCAGTTTCCTCATCTATAAAATGGGAAGAATAACCTCATAAAGTTGTTGGGAGGAATAAATGAACTAATGTCTACAAAGCCGTTTGCACAGTGCCTGGCACATAATAAATCTTCAACTGAAAGGCGGCTATTTATGTGCAGCGGGTGAGGGGGTTGCTTCAGCTTACACTAAATGATCTGTATTTTGGTTTAATAGAGGAAGGAAAGGTTGGTGTTTGTGATTTTGCTCCACAAGAAAAGGCATGTTTCCATCTCATTTTCAAACTCGACAAGATGGGAATCTTGCGAGATTTTTGCTTCTCATTGAGTGGCTCAGTGGCTGGGGAAGTGGGGGTGGTCATTTTATAACGAGGCCATTTCTAGGACTGTTTGAGAAACTCGGGTTCCTGGGGATTCTTCAAGGGACTTCATGCTGTACAAATAATGGAGTTCAGGGCATTTGTTCTAATGCAAAAAGGAGTGCACTGTTCACCAGCAGAAGAAAAAGCAAGTATTAGATAGGTGACAACAGTCCAGGGGTAGTAGTAAAAATGGTGGATTATAGCCCAGTGCTTCCAGGAGCAGAGAATGGCCGAAGAGTGGAGTGAAGGCGGGGGCAGGGGGTAAGAGCGCCCCCCAAAGGGAGAATCTGCTCCTCATTAGTTCATGGATCACCTTTATCCCCTCGATTCTCTGTGCATCCTTAGAAAGGAGTGATTAGGCTGCCAAACCTTCAAAGCCTTTGCATATTCAATTCCATTCGATGGAAATGTCCTTGGGGCATCCAGTGTGCAAACTGAAGGAATACAAAGGAAGTCTGTGTTCTATACGGACCTGACTGTCATAATTTACGGGTGTTCACTTCCCCCCATGTTTATCATTCTTTTTATGATAGACATGAGAAAGAAACTGGGAAACATACGTAGCAGATACGGGGGAAACAAGATCATAATTCTCCCCACTAGTTCGTATGCTACACGAAGGTGGGGACTGTGTTTTGTTACCCTCTCCCCCAAGCACCTACCTCCTTTCTCTAGTGTCAGGTCTAGTATGGGGAGTTCCTGAGTATCTATCCTCAAATATCTGTTTGTTGAATAAATGAATGAGCTCCCCATCTCTGGAGTGTCCAAGAACTGGCTGCCTGACCACTTGGCAAGAATGTGATTGAAGGGAATCCAGCCGTAGGGGGATGGCTGGGCTCATACACTTCCGAAGCCACTCTCACTCAAAAGTCTGTCATTCTAGAATCTGGCAGGCATGTATTATGTGAGAAGGTTTTAGGTAGAACCCAAGTTTTGGGGTATATACTTTTAATATTAATAATAATCACATTTTAATTTTTATATGTATTGAAAAATGTGATTAGCACGCCAAACCTTCAATTTCACAGATATTTTTGGTAAGGATGAGGCTAAATCATCAAGACTGAGTTAATTTGTACAAACGTGTTAAGTAAATAAAAGTTCTGGGGTATGTGACCTAGCAAATATTACAGCAGTGGTTTTGTAAGGACTTAAGTGTGAGCACCTCTGGGATTTGCTGCCAGTTCCGAGGTCTGCAAGAGGACCACGAACGTGTGCAGGACTTCTCAGCCTTGGCACTGTTACTTTCGGGCTCAGTAATTCTTTGTTGTCTCCTGTGCATTGTAGATACTTAGCAGTATCCTTGACTTCTACCCACTAGGTATCAGTAGCACTCTCTACCTCCCCCCCAAGTTGTGACAACCAAAGACATCTCCAGACATTGCCAGTGTTCCCTGTCGGGGGCGACGTCAGCCCTGGTTGAGAACCACTGACTTAGACCAAGGAGCCATGAGTAGCTTCCTGATACGGAGTCAGATGCCAATACATTTTAAAATGAGTTTTAACTAAAATGAGTCCTTGTAGGATGACTCCAGGGTATTAATTGTCATCCTAGAGCATGAAGACATGGACGGGGTCACAGCAGAGAACCAGGAAAAGTAAAGATACTGGTTTACTTTGAGGTCAAATGTGTGCATGACTTGATAAATGCACATATATGATAGCTTTTACCATAGAAGGTAAGCTTATCCTTTATGAGAACCTAATCTATTCATATTCACATTTTTAGGGCCCGAATAGCTAAGGATAAGAGATGCTAGAATTCTAGCTCCTAAAAAACAGAAGGAAAAAAAAAAGTCCTGTTAAGGCCATTCAATAGACACCAATAATTTGGGTTGTTAAAGCAGCGCCTGAGGAAGGGACAGTGTCAAAAAGACTCATTGTTGGTGTTTTCCAGCCACTGCTTTGCTTCAGAGGGACAGAAACCACAAGGGCTCCATGTTTGCTGGGATACTGTGTGCCCTGCACCAGGCCTTGTGATGCTGGATCGGATGTGCGGATTCTGCTACCTTTGAATGACCCTTTCCCTCTCACTGGACCTTTGTCAAAAGAAAAAGGTGTCTCTCTTGAGGCTGGGCCAGTGAGCCAAATTTTAAGTAAACAGAAATAGAAGGCGCTAAACAAACAAACTCCAGCCAAACGAATGTCCAAGGTCTGGATGGCCAGCTGCCACGTTTGAGTTGTTTTTCAGCATAAAGCCTTCTAGTTAGGCTGCAGAGTTTCAGATTGGAAAAATCAGACCTAAGAAAACAGAATCAAACTCCCCAGACTTCATTTCCTCATCTCACAGCAAATTTCTACCCAAGAGGTCAACACAGGTATAGGAATTGGGGCCCTATTAGAAACCACCCGATCTGACATTTTATTTGGGAGAAACTGAGGCTCGGAGGATGTGAGGAGTCTTCCTGAAAGTCACACCACCAGCGAGTAGCAGGGTAAGGACCCAAGCAAGTCTTCTCTTGCCCTAGCCCACTGCTCTGTGAGCCTTCATTCTAGAAAGTTCTTAAACTATGAAGGCATCCACATTCTCTTCTCTGACAGAGTGGCTAAGACCGACCCTAAATTCATCAGCTGCTAATGCAGTGCTCAGTAGATTGTTTGTGTTCCGTAAATATGGAAATCATCTAGTCACCCGTGGAAATAACTGCTTTCTTTTTCAGTGCAAAGACACATGGCCTCAGTCGCTGCTGAAATTTTAGACACATGAGCCCAGGTTTGGGACTTGGCAAGAGAATAGGCCAGATGGGAACTGTTGCTTTACAAATCGAAAGTCCTTTGTTTTAGAATGAACCAAACCTGGCCTCAGCTCATCTACACATCACCAGCCCCCCACCCCGCAATGTTGCAGGGCCCATTTTGGTAATTATTTTTTTGGCACAGACTACTGCTTGCATCCAAAAGCATTCTGAGTTTATCATACTAACAAAATGACACTCCCCAAAGCCAAAAAGTGCAAATGTAGCTATTAGGGACTTCTTGGAGTGCTTGTTTAGAGTATGTTATTACAGTATTGAATGACTCTATAGGGGTGCTACTTCATCTCAAGGCAACCTTACGGGTTTAAGAACAGACCGATCTCACTGCGTCAGTGTTCTTACGGTCCCTACTTAAATGGCTAACCTTTTTAGAGTAGCAAACCCAAACTAGTTTAGAAAAAAACTAAAAAATGAAGGGCTGATTTCAGCAAGAGAATCAATGCTGATTGTTAATATTTTGCTTTTGCAAAATGAGCTTTTATATGAAGACCTATAGCTATTATTATAACCTACAGAGGGGAGTAAAAAAAAAAATGGTGATTTGTTTCAATTCGTAAAGCAAGGTAATTGAGAGTAAGAAAATGTCTCCAGAAGTCCTGGTTTTTATTTCCCAGGCCACTTTTGATTTCTTTCATGCATTTTGAAACGTTTGCTGTTTGGTAGTTCTCTTCCAAAGCATATTTAAGGCAACCTCTATTTATGTTACCTTGAAGGGGGGTTTTATTTAAAATACAGTCTAGTATTTGTGCATTTCCGACTTCAGTCTATCAATAATACGGAATCTTTGAGATGATCGTGCATGTGCACAGCACATGATTCACTCCACTTTCTCTAGAGAAGCAATTCTTGACCTCTCTTAACCCAAAGGCTCCCTTGTGGAGTCTGATGAGGGCTCTATAAACTCTCACAATATGACACATATATGGACTCAGAATTGTGAACTGAAGTGAAACTGTACATGCTGCTTTAGAATCTGCCCTGATAAGATTTGGAAGTCCAGGAGAGGCTCCCTTAGGAAATATGACTTGATATATAAGCCTGTTTGAGAATACCAAAAGCAGTTAACTAGTGAATAAAAAATCAAGATGGAGACCTTCATTAGATTATTAGGTAATTAGCATTCTCAATGAAAGGCAACTCGTAGAATAAAAAGCTGTCTTGCAAGAAGCAAGTAGAACACTAGTCCAGCCACCTTGTTTTTCACCAGGTTGGTGTGGCAGTTTAGGAAGCCAAACCCTATTATTCTCAACCCTCAGTTAAGAGTTCCTTTTTTTTTGCTGGAAGCTGCCCCATGAATTTCTGTTGTTTCTGTGGCCATTAGTCTTTTTAGTCCTTATCAGCATCATACTTCAGTGTGCAGGATCTAATAAACAAGAAGCTGATTTCTCTTTTCTACGAGAAATATTATTGGCATTCATTTTCCAACCATAACATAGCTGAATAACATAATTCCTAATATATTACATTAAAATATGTTCATATTCACATATATTTTTAAATGACGTTGTCATGATGCTCTCTAGGTTTATAAACTTTTACAGACCCTCAAAACTCCCAGGACCTCAGTTTCAATACTTAGAATGTATTAATAAAGCACTTTGCTATCCAGAGACAAAAATGCCACCAAAGTCATCTGTTTTGTATGGGGCTTTGGTTATTGGCCAGAACACAACATATGCTGTTCATAGCAGTGATTGGTGCTGTTTTATTGTAGCCTCTCGAAAGCAAAACGTTTATTGTGAAATGGTTTGGGGTGTATCAAGAATTGTAGGCTCCTTGCAATTGTAGAAACACAAAGAATGGAATTCAAAGTGTTTCTTTTAAAGCAGGAGCAATGTGTACTTCGTGCCTGGGAGATGGAACACTGCCTAGAAAAGGTGTGACTGCCCAGGACGTAGTGGGGAAAGAAATGGAGACTAAAATCAACCCCTCCAAGGTGGCCACCAAGTGAGATTTTTCTTTTCTTTCAGAAGTATAAGAAAGCAAGAAAATCCTGTTTTGTTTTGTTGTTTTAAATACTTTCCTCATTTGTTTCCTAGGTCACAGAAGAAAAGTGTGGCTGGATTCACTAACAATTGGAGCTTGACTCCACTTTCTTAGAACCTTTGTCTGCATTATCTGCAGCTGGCAGTTTCTGCTTGGGGTCCAGGTGTCAAGCAGTGGTGATTTCAGAAAAGTCTTGTCTCTATAGTTCAAATACAAATAATATCACATTTCATTTTGAGGCCAAATATCTATACATTCACACATCTTAGCTTTTTTTTTTTTTTCTCCTTCTTTGTTTTGTTTTTGCCTGTTTGTTGTTTTTAACCAGGGGTGCCTAAAAGTAACTTTCTTTTACCAGGCTACTTTAAGCAGAGGGAGAGATGAGAAAAGCAAGGCAGGCTGTCTGAATTTAAATGGGCAGAAAATCACAGGGAAAAATTAGTGTTTAAGGCTATAATAAATTGTCCTATAAATAAAGTTGTCCCACTGACCTCCAGATTGACAAAGGTCACTTTCAGCTTTGACAAGGCCCCTTATCAACCACACTCATTTGGAGGTGGGAGGTGCAATTCATCTTCCTGAATGTCCTCAAATTTAAGAGCAATTTTCCTGTGAAAGTAAGTGATTTATTCATCATTAATACTAACTTCTCAGGCATTTTTATTTTGTAAAGTTTGGAGAAGAATGAGAAAAGCCTTTGAAGATGAGATTTTTATTAATTTTTTATTTATGCTACTCATTTGATTGCTTATAATATATTTCGCAAATGAATTTGAAAGTAGATATTCTCTGAAACCAGTTTGAAATAAAAAAATTTTTTAATTAACTTCTAGAATCCCCAGCTTACTTTTCTAGGTGATAAATACATGCCTGAAAAGCCAAGTTCACATTGAAAGTGTAGATACAACTTAATGACAGCAATGTTAAAACACCCTTTTCTGTGCACATGCAGAGTAGAATGCCTGGCAGCCACAGATGAACATTGGCCAGAGTGAGGGTATTATTTATCACAATTGTAAAATGGCTTATTTGAGATAGCGCTGCATTTAAAGTTTATTTTACCAGGTGGAAGTACCTTGGAACCATCTATATTCTACATTTATACAGCTATCCCTTAGTATCAGCAGGGGATTGGTTCCAAGACTGGCCTCAGATACCACCACCTGCTGATGCTCAAGTCCCATAGTCAGCCCTTTGTATCCATGGTCCCACATCCTCAGATTCAACCAACTGCTAATCATATTGTACTGTATCTATTGAAAAAATCCACATGTGATTGGATCTGCACGGTTCAGACCCACGCTGTCCAAGGCTCAACTGTATTTGTAGACAATGGTGCCAAGTACATTATTCCACAAAGCTATGAACCTCACTTTGCCAATTACTATATAAAGTGGAGATTTGAGGCACTTATCTAAGTAAATTTTTTAAACTCACACAAAATCCACAACCTAATATTAAAGGGAGGAAAGAGTTTATAGATTGAAATTAGCCCAACTAGTTAATGAGCCCATCAAATTAATTCAGTCTTGGCCCCAGTCTCTACTGCCCTTTGTCTTGCTGGGCTGACCTGATCCCACCAGTAGAAGACCAACATTTGCTTCCTAGCCTTCTACCAAGTGGCATCAGGCCGAGGGACATACTCTGTTGAGCTATAGCCCATTAGGAACTTCTTTTGGGAAATCCATCGTAGATGAGTTGGCTTACTATGAGGGCATTTCAGTCTGAAGCCGCTCCTTCTGCCGCACAAGTCTTCCCAATGCCTCATGTTCACCTTCTGCTCATGATCAGTGTTAACCTGAGCTTGTAAGATGGTGTAAAGACGATTATTATGATAGCTAAATGTATTATTGAGTGCTTAGGATGTGCTAGGCATTGTTCTGAATGTTTTGCATCTCTTACCTCATTTAATCCTCACAACAACTCAAAGAATTTTGTACTATTTTCACCCCCCTCTAATAAAGAAGGATGCTGGAGCTTGGCTGGGGTATGTTACGTGCCCAGAGTCACCCTGTAAATGTCAAATGGAGAGTCCCACCCAAGTAACCTGGACCACAGTTCACCACCTGAACTCTGGGCTTCTAATAGGATTCAGCCCTTGAGTTAAAACTTAGTCTCTTCAGAAAGCTCCTGGTAAACATGAGGGCTAAACTGAAGGCAAGCTACAAATTTTCAGGTGAATCCTATTAAATAATATTATTAACATCATTCAGACATAACAGAAGTGTGCCAGTTTCACTGCTGAAAGTGCACGGGGCCCCGGGGTTGTGTTCTCTGGTCTTCTCAACATGGCTTTGATACATCTCTTTCCAGAATGAAGTGTCCATGTTGAAAAACGAGGTGGCACAGCTGAAACAGTTGTTGTTAACGCATAAAGATTGCCCCATAACAGCCATGCAGAAAGAATCGCAAGGATATCTAAGTAAGTCATTGATTTTTTTGCTGTTTTTGGTGTCCAGTTTTTTGCCGCTAATTTCACATTGGATTTTATTGAAAGAACAAAAGTAAAGCGTAGAATGTATACCCAGGTGGATATCACACTAGAATTCTTGTGTGGTGGCCAGACTTCAGCACCAGAGGGAGTTCTTTTCTGACCCCTATTCATCACATGCCCACCACCTCCTGGTAATTTCCGGCTAGACCTTCCCTGGCATTTGCCATTGTAAAATCCTATCAAATTCCAATTCTGCAGCCAGTTACCAGTGGGCTGGCAGTCTTCCAGAGAAATCTGTGGGCTAGGAAACGGTCTTTGGGTGCATCCTATCCAGTATGTCAGGATATGCTGCCTGGTATTCACCAGGTTGAAAAGCTAGCGACCTTGTCTCAGTTTACCAGTTTGTAAAGTGGATCCCTTTTTCTAGATCTCAATATCTGCACCTGGAGTGTCAGTAGGTTAAATGCTAATTGAGTAGGGGGCGGTGGGAGGAGCAGGGACTCATGGCTGAAGGTGAATTTCTTTTCAAATAATTTTTTAGATTGAGCAACACAGATTCTCCCACCACATGTGAGTATTTTTCCACATTTGATATATGGATGGCTATTTGAAAAGACAAGATGGAGAGTTCACACACCAGGACTCAACCACATCAACTCACGTTGCTGATCTTGAAAGCATGGCTTTGCTTGTAGCTATAAGCTGGGAAGGCATAGCTTTGTGATGACAGTTTAAAATCAATTTTGAAATTAACCCTGGGAGAAAATATATGCAAAGTGCTTCTATTTCTAGTAAACACCTAGGAATGTATTTTTGAGTAGTCCTCAAGTCCACCCAGGAGAGAGCTATATTGGTGTGCGTATGTGCTTCTCCCTAGGTCCAGAGAGCAGCCCTCCCGCCAGTCCCGTCCCCACGTGCTCTCAGCAGCAAGTCATCCAGCATAACACCATCACCACTTCCTCGGCGGTCAGCGAAGTGGTGGGAAGCTCCACCCTCAGTCAGCTCACCACTCACAGAACAGACCTGAATCCCATTCTCTAAAGCCTGCCGGTCAGACCTTGCCTCCAAGAAGAGCTGTCGCATATCCTGCGTCCTTTCGTTTAAGGGCATTTTTAGAACTAACTCAGACCTGAAAGACTCCTCAGCCCTTCACAGACTGGCTTTCATTTTTATAGTTATTATGGAAATGTTGTCTTTTATACTTAGTTATATAAGAAAAAAAAGGGAGTTATGCAATTAATAATCTATCAGCTTGGGAAATGCTTTGGTGCTTTTCTCCGATTTTCTGGTACCAGTTACTTGTTTATAAACTGAACTCTTTCTGTATATAGTCATGGTTTCATTCTTATTAGTCCAACCCTTTGCCTGAAACGTTGAATCCTGTTAAACCGCAGCTTTTAGCCAAAATGAGGCGTACCTAGATGTCCAATAAACAGATTGCAGGGGAACTGGGGGAGAAGTCTGATGATGCCATAACTCATGTTGAGTTTGTGCTGTGATGTCACCAGAATCCCAGATAAACACAGAACCTTTTCCACAACTGTGCTTCTCTTACTATAAAAACGTACAAGATCCATTGATGTCCAAATAAAACCACCAAGCATCTCATCACCTCTCCTCCTCCTCTTGGTCCACTTCCTCAAATGCCCAATTTTCCTTTCCATTTCCACTTTTACCTGGGCTCCCTGTTTACTCTTTATTTTTACTTTCTTCTGTTTTATTTTTCCCCCTTTAGCATTGCATGTAAAGAAGAAAATAATGTTTAAAGGGAAAAAAAAAAAGCTAATGTGGACCTAGCCATGGCTTCCCCTGCCCGTGACCTACAGCTGGAGTTCATTCGACTCCTACTTTTTGCAAAATAGTAACCAGGAGATGTTTAATGGGCCTGATTTAATGTTTTTAATAATCAGGGCAAATAAAAGGTGGCTTAGCCATAGGTGAAGCACTGTTGAATACCAGCTGTGGAGACACTAGGGAAGGGAGCTTTGTAAGCCTCAATTGTGAAAGTCAAAATTATAATGCGGGGCTATAACATCGCACCCTCGAATTACAACTGGTTTTATATGGCCTGTCTATAATGTTGAAAATCCATGTACTATATAATAATTCAGAAGGGCTCTATTCACTACACAGATTACATTGTTCAGTGTCAGCTGCTAATAGCCTAAGATTTATTATTATTTTTTTTCTTAAGCCTATGGAACCGGCTTTGCTGTTCTGGTGGGTGAAAGTAGACGAACTACTGGAGGAACAAAGAGAGAAAGAAAACCTAATGTTTCCATAGGGGTGCTTTCAGCCCTCCCACAACAGGTAAAGCGCTCTTTGGCTGCTGAAAGAATCCCATGGTAGGGCTACTCCAGTCTTCTGAATAATTCTGATTTATATTTTCAGCAACTTTCGTGGGCAGCTTTGCCCATTATAAAAAGCAGATAGTCCCCAACCACAGTTGTGCCTCCTTGAAACAAGCCATTCTACTGTGCTAAGGTTTTAAAATCGCATCTCGCAAGTAACAGGGGCTAATGTTTTTCTGTAGCAGTCTAGGCAGGTGCTGGTGTTTCATCTCCATTTGAATGCTTGACCTCTGAACATGAGAGTGTGTGTGTGTGTGTGTGTGTGTGTGTGAAAGAGAGGGATTATGAGATTTAAAAGAATAGTATTTTACAAATGGTGTAGCTTTTATAAGAGTTCAGAAAAGGGAAGGATGTGTTTTTTTTCTCTCACTATAGTGTAATAATCTATTTTGGAGAAGAAAAAGAAAATATAAGTGTCCTGAAGCATGGTTTTTATAACTAGTTTCAGTTTTACCCAATAACTTACTTTTTAAATCAGTATTTATCAACAATCTTTTCATGTATGCAGTGCTTTCAAAAGAAAGTTTTGAGTTTCTCAAAACTTGGATATATGGTCTAAAAAAATCAAAACAAAAGCAAAAGCAAAAAAAAAAGAGAAAAGAGAAAAAAGAAAAAATGCAAATGAAAAGGATTTTCTATTATATTTTAGACAAACATATCATTTTAAGTATTTTAAATACTGAATTCATAGTTGTTTTGTTTTGTTTTGAATCCCAGCAGTAATCGCTGAATGGTTTAACCTAGCTGGTTTTCTAAGAAGTTTAAGATTTAGCTAAAAAAGCAGTTAATATTCTTGTCTCTATTTTGAAATCAAAAATAATTTTTTCAAAACTCCTTCCTAGGACCATTTATGTGTCCCCCTAAAAAGGAGAAAGAGCTCATTGAAATACTTGTTTGGGTTTTTTAAATTTTTACTTTTTTTCTTTAAGTGAAAAATACTTTCTTTACTGCATGCATAGCACTTAATGAAATGGATTTTTAAAAAATCCACTGGTGATATCAGAATGTCCAAGGAGTGGGCTGTCACTAAAATGATGGTTTACTTTACTTCTGCTCCACCTCTTGATTGAAATATTTAGTTGTTAAACCGAAAGCCTCTGCAGTTAAGAACTTGCCTGAGTTTTCTTAATTCAGCAACCTGACAGTTTGACTGACGTGCATTATGTATAGTTCAATTATGTCTGTTTTTTTATGCTAAGCAGGCAAACCAACCACACACACATGTTGGCAAACGGGCCTCAACGTATAATTAGAATAAACTGTCTTCTTGTTATACTCGGGGCTTTAGGTATGTTCATTAGCAGTGTGGAAATACAATAAATGGAAGATGCCAGCGAGTTGTCAGAGCGTCTTGAAATCTTGGACAGAAAGGCTCATTGATCAAATCCAGCGCTCAGCTTATCAATATGAATTATTTCACTCGAAGGCCTAACTGTCACCCTACCATAGAATAAGCCGTCTGGCTGAAATTCCCTCCTTCTTGTCCCACACTTTTTTGCCAGTCCGGGGAAACATCGCTTTCTGTCCCGTTCTCCTCTCCCGCTCAGTCGCTGGGTCATCCATCCAACTGTCCCCAGTCAATGGCAGTGACCGTCAGGGCCCCCGCCCAGAGGAGGGAAGGGCCGGCGGCGCTGCCTCGCCCACGCCCACGGGGGCCTTTGGGGCACGATCTGCCTCTGCAGTCACTGCCAGCCCGCCCGGCGACGGCCCCACCCCCGCCTCCCGTGAGCGGAGTCAGCAGCCCAGATGGGCACACCTGATGGCGCTTCCACCAGGGGAGTCCTCACCTAAACTGAGGCGTTCACATCTTCATTGTTTCTCCTGAAGATACTTCTCAGCGTATGCCGGGACAGGTAGAGTGAAGATCCTGCCCGCGGATGAATGCGCCCGCGCGCCCGGCGAGAGGCCAGAGGCTCTCCCTTTACACCGCCCCCCTCCCCGTCAGCGTGTGCTAGGCGGCCTTCTCACGGCCTGTGGGGACGAGCAATCCGTTTGCAGTCACTGCGTGCATGCTTATGATTAGGGGACTGGCTCGGAGTAGTTGCTCTTTGGAGCCTATTCGTTCAATGAAGTCAAACTCAGTGCTTGTTCTGAATCGAGGGGCATCCGTGGCGAATGTTCAGGTGGTTGTGGCCGGTTGGCCAAGTAAATTTTAGTGTGTTAGTTGAGTTTGTCATTCAGATCTTCAGCCAGCTGCGATAAAAGACCAGCCTTTTTCTGGAGGAGGTTTTAAGCATCTGTAACTGCTAGAAAACTAGCCATCCAGTTAGGATAGAATGTGCTTCTTTCTGGTTAATAAAAACCATCTAAAATATATATATATGTATGTATGTGTGTATACAGTGGAATTCAAGGACCAAAGCAAAATCTGAACAGGAATCTATTAATTTAGAATTTTATAAGATATTTATTAATAAATGTTATTTTAAACATTCCATTTGAACAATATTCTTCTGTAGAATCTACTTGTTTTGAAAGTATTAGTTCATAATAAACTACTCTAGTCGTGTGTATCTTCCTTTTTCGGGGTTTCAAATGGCTATTCTCCATCATTTGGTGGAAATGTTTGTTTAGATCTCTATGCATAGAAATTTCGAGGATTTTTTTATTGCTCTGTGAGTTATTTTTTAATCTATGTTCGGAACAGTTTTGAAACATCTATCTCTTCATTTTTAAAGTTAGCTCTTTTCTTTAGGAAGCAGAGTTCAGCTAAAGGGAATCAGTAACTATAACTGGAACAGCTTTCTTGTAAAAGTGTAAGAACAACTTCATCTCTGCTTCTCTCCACCCCACCCCACCCTCCTAGAATGCCTTGCACTATTTAGCTTCCTTCGTGCTCTTCTTGTCTCTTCCCAAACAATGTGCAGTAGCTTTAAGCCATCCAAGTTCCATTATGCAGTATGTCTGAGAAGGGAAAGGAAAGAACCCATTTAAATTGGAATAAAACCGTGCCTATGCGAACAATCGCAACTTAGAATCTCTCTTCTGCTTTGAAAATAATTTATATTTTGAAATTGCACTTTAGCGTTTCTAACCCATCAGTTTCTATCGTTCTCCTTCGAACCTCCTCCCTGTCCTCAAACCTGCCTTCGATCTCCCCTTCCCAACTCCCCCACGCTTCCTCTAAGGCTCTGAGCTGCATCGTTTAAAAATACTTTACAGACTATTTGCACCAGGTACCTTTGCGTGCATTCACAAGTCGCATAGCCAAGACACGTTTCTCACGTCTGCCTAGGTGAAGCCTGCTACAGGAATGCCAAGGAGAAGAGCCAGTTTATACTCTTTACCCCTTTATTCATAGCATGCTTTTTGAAAAAAATATTATGCAACAGATGCGAGGCAACAGCTATGCTACGTTCAAGAATTTTCTATCTCATCCTTCAAACCAAAGTGTCCTGAATGAGCCAGGAGACTCATGGTGCACGTGGGACTGTTGTCTTCACCTTCGTCTCTCTGGGCTGCTGAAAAAAACGGTGGCCCTAACTATTTCATTCCTAGGTCTCAAATACTATGTTGCCTTGTACCATAATTAGGGACAGCACCTCTCTTTGACAACTATAATCTAAGAAAGGACAAGAAGACACTGAAGCAATAAACTTACAAGCAAAATTCAATACCAAAACAAAGGAAGAAAGAAAAAACCCTAGCTCATCATGTTGTGAAAATAAAAAAGTGTATGTCCATTCAAAATATTTTACTATTTCTTGTGAAGTTTTTCAGTGATGTAATGCTTATAGCCAAATTGCTTAAAGAGTGTTTATATATTTTTTTCCTTATAAATTGTCTATTTTTTGAAAAAGCTATTTAACCACAAGTTGAAGAGGGGGGTAAGGCCAAATTGCCAGCATTTGTTAAAAGATTAATATTCTTAAGTGGCACTCTGATACCTTTCCAAGCTTATCATCAGAGCGGGAATCAATAATTATCAGCTGTTAGATTTAGACCAGCTTACAATATCTAGCTCATTAGAAGCCAGGATTTAGAAAGCTCTTCTTAAGCCATTTAAGATTTTCTTACATTGAGTTTCATATGAGAGAATGTTATAGGATTTTTTTTTCAAAAACTGAATCATTTTAGCCTCAGGACTAAGAATGTGGAACCTGAATAAATTAGCTTTAAATACATCATTTAAATCTTATGCACAATAAGGTCACTCGAGTTTAGTTTGCTCCTTTAGGGTACCAAGACTGTAGATGCTACAGGAGCTGGTGAAGGGTGTCAGCAGTGCTGCAGTGGAGGGGGAGTCCGCGAAGCGACCCGTCCCCACCACCAGCCAGTGAAACGGAAGACCTGCTCGCCCTCTTTCCTTCTACGTTCTGCTAAATCACACTTGCCTCATAGAGAGAGGAGTTTTGCCTTTGAGGTTTGTCTTGGAGAAAAGATAAGCTTGAAATGTCCTCCCTGGAGAGGACATGGGGTTTGGGATCTTCTCAAAAGACCCAGAAACGTGGCTCAAACACAGTGTTCTAGGACAATTGGAATATAAATATTGTCCAAAAATAGAACTAAAAGAAAAAAAGTTTAGCATTGTGCAAAAGTAAGTGTTAACTAAGGAAGTCCTCAAAAAAGGTGCTGTCACTTTAAGTTCTGGACTGGGGGAGTTGTTTGTAATTGTAAACAGCAAAGCATTTGTGTTTGTCTGTCTATTTGTAAAGCAACCACCTTCCTTATTGGAAGGAGAAAAAAAATTGGGGGGTACATACGTGTAAATACTTGCTGCAGCATTTAATATGTTTAATTTTATGTTAAGCTTTTTGTTGCATCGTGAACACATTTATTGTTACCAATGGACAATGAGTTCATTAAGACTGTTCAACTAGGTCAGATTTTTACATCTCTTTCTAGCAAGAAGAGACAAGATTTTGTGCATTTGTACAAATGTTAATAATATCACTGCAATTCCAATATAATAAAGCACTCAAATGCAAATAATAGACGTACCCTTTGTATGATGAAATTTGGGTTTGGGGATAATGACATCTATTCTGCATAAGATCTCATTCATGCCTCATAAACCAAGGCTGACCATCACCTAGGGACAAAAGCAGGTAAGATTTTTCTCCTTCCCAGACCATAACTGCCCTCTCACTGCCTCTTCCATCCAACTTCCCAACTGAGGCCAAAAGTCTAACACATTCATCACAGTGGGTTGGCCACACAACTAAACTTCACTGTGGAATTGGCAGATTTTAACAGTCAAGAAATGCAACTAATGTAAATTCACGTTTAAGTTGCGTCTAGGAACCAAGAATTACATGCAAACTAGTCAGATAGTTAAATCCTGGAGTTCTTTGCTTGACCTCCAGAAAAGTCCTAAAGACGGTCTTACCCCCTGTATGCATGGACCCTTGTAGATATCGCCCCACCTTCCTCTTCTGCCTGCCTTCCTTCCTCTTCTTTATTCTTTTATTATTTTTTTTTAGTCACTCTCTTCTTTTTCTTACACTCAATCTGATCCATCAGCATGGCCAGAATCCTGCCATCCTTTATCACTAATTTAACTATTACAGTTCTCTCCAAACTACCAGCATCTCTCATCTGGATCATTGCTGTACTCTTCCAACTGGCAGCCACAGGGACCCTTTGAAAATGGAAGTCAGACCATCTTCCTCTCCACCTTGAAACCCTGCAAGGACTTTTCCACTCATTCAGAGTAAAAGCCAAATCCTTTACTATCAAGTTCTATAAAAGTCCTACCTGACTTCACCCTGTTCATTCCCTGAGCTCATCTCTTACCATATTCCTTCCATCAGACCTCTCCAGCTCCATTAATGTCTTTGAGGTTTCTCGCACAATCCTCGCAGTCTCCACCAGAAAGCCTTTTCACACACTGTTCATTCCCTCTACCTAGAATATTCTTCCCCAAAATGTCAGAAGAGCTCACTTTTCCATCTGTCTCCCTATCGGTTAAGCCTTTCCTGACCACCTTTTATAAAATTAAATCACCCTCACTCTTCATTCACCTCTGCCTTGCCCAGACTACACTTTCTATAGCATTTACCACCGTCTAACCTAATTTATATTTAGTTGTTGTTTAGTCTGTCTCCCCCAGGTAGAATGTAAGCTCCACAAGACCAAGGGCATTTTCTGCTTTGTTCACCCTTGGGACCCAAGATCTAGACCAGTGGATGCACAATGGGCACTCTGTGAACAGATGATCTATTGTTTCTTTTCTGCCTTCTTCCTTGTTCTCAGAACATTCCAACCCATCTACCTGGTTCCGTGCCCATAAGGAGTCAGATTTTAAAACCAAGTCCCAGGGCGTGTTATCTGACACATAGCCTGACACTGGGCAGGATATTTGAAATTGGGACCAAAACAACAATTTGGGGTGGGGGGGGTGATTGCTGTCCTAATGGCAATCCCATCTGTTACATTAAGACCACTCAATACACTCATAGTTCCCAAGAGAGTCTTTGTAATACCCATTCCATGCTCATTTAAGATTTTAAAGCCATTACTATTGGTTAAAAAAATTGTTACGATCCTACACTTATACTTGGAGGACAGACAACTCTAATCTCCACCCTTCCTTTCATCCCTGGCTGTCTCTGGGGCTTCATAATGTCCTTTTATCTCACACTTGCTATTGTGGTTGATTGTTGGTTGGTTACTGGATCACATTTTAATTCTGCATTACATATTTTCTTAGCCAAGAAAAATCGTTTCTTAGCAAGACAACCTGCTTTGTGGTTTGGGACCTAAGTATCTTCATTCTGAGATCATAAAATTCTGGAGCACAATGGGCCCCCTTTTTAAAATAATTGAAAGCAAGACACTTTGTGAGACTTGTTCCCATGGCAGTAGCATCGACTTTAGTGGAACAAGCATGAAAATTAGG